TATTATTATTATTATCATTATTATTATTATTGTTATTATTATTATTATTATTAATATTATTATTATTAGTATTGTGATGAAAAGTTAACACAAATAGTTTATTCCCCGACAAAATGTACACGTCTTCCCCGACGGGGGGAGGGGTGGGGCTCTGGCGACACCACTGGATTCAATAATCTGCTGTATCCCTTGCTGTGCCATTTTCGATATGTGATGGTCTGCGACCTGTAGACTACACACAATAGGCCCTAATTGTAACTTAATGAGCACTGGTGAATATTTATTACTTCGTAATTTGCATAACGAATATAAACCATGGCTTCCTACATTGAAAACATGAATTAGCCTATGTGGATAAAATTATCACAGAAAATAAACTTGTAATTTATAAGATTATTTTTTTTAAACAGAATCAAGTACAGTACGGTAGATAATTTTTATTTTTTTTAAAGCAGGTTTTGCATGGACGTAATTTTATTTAATATGCTGATTATTATATATCTTATATTGTTATTAATATTATTATTATTATTATTATTATTATTATTATTATTATTATTATTATTATTATTATTATTATTATTATTATTATTATTGTTTCATGTATACAATATATGCATAGGCCTAATATATAATGTATATATTTAATAACTTAATTGGAAATAATTAATTATTATAAATAAATATTAATTGTAAAACATATATAATATAATGTTAACAATAATATAGGATAGATCTAATCAATTATTGATACCGTAATGTCATCTATCGATAAAAACATCGATTCGATTAATTAACAGCAGCTTTTCGCAGTGTGGCAGTGCCGATAGAAACCAGCAACTTTCTCGCACTGCGGCAGTGCCGATAGAAAACAGCAGCTGTTTGGCACTGCGGCAGTGCCGATAGAAAACATCAGCTTTGCCAGTCAATTCGTGCGGATGTCAGTTCGAGCGGATGCCAGTTCGAGCGGATGCATTCGAACTACAACAAGGGCGAATTATCGTCGCCCTATTTTTGTATTTGTTTAAAATGCAAAAAATGCTCTGTGCACTAAAGTTTGATAATTATTCCATGTTTGAATTACAGTCTTGGCAAATCCGACTAAAAGATGGCCGCTAGAAAGCACTTAGGCCCTATATTTTAAAACTATAGAATTTCGCACGTTAGAATTCACGGTTTTTGTCTCCAGTTAGTTGAATTATATAGTGTTGTAACAGTATTCGTGGATTTACGATTTAGGCCTATATTTGTAAATGGGAGTAACTGTAATTGTAATTTTTATTCACCATAGAAATTTAAATTATTTTTACGTATATGGTGTCAGAAGGTGCCCAAACCATTGGTGTAGTAGTGTGACACAGGGGCGGATCCAGTGTAGGGGACACGGGGGAGGCACGTTCC